TCTTTGATATATTTTATAAAGAAAGAAGGAAATGACTTTGGATTGAGGGATACGGTTTTTTTTATTGTATGACTGCTTTTATAGTTTTGTACATTGATGATAATGAGGGTATAAAATTGTATTAATAAACCGTAAAAAAGTTTTGGCTTCATTTCAGATGCTGAGTTGTTTAATGATGGATTCCAGATTCCAGAATAGAAATAGTATTTTTGTTGTCATCTATAAAAACATCAACTTACGGCAATAGTTGGACAGTTTTTTCTATCAGATAGGCATATGGGGAGCGGGCAATTCAAAAACCATGCAGCAAACTGCAATAGTGTCAAAATCATGATGGGTTGTCACATAAATTACAGCTATGTACTTACATCATAGATTACTTGATAGAAGTTCATTATTTTCCCTTTCCCCTGTGAATAAAAGTGAGGTACAGGTAGACCTCGACTTACAATCATTTGTTTAGTGGCCAAACTTAAAACTGCACTGAAAAGGTGACTTAAAACCAAACCTCTCATTTATGACCATTGCAGCAACTTTTTTTAGCAAGGGGAATGAAAACAAATGTAAAAATAAAGCTTAAACTTTTCATGGAGAACAGTTAATGCCTTAGGAGTCTGAATTTCAAGTCCTTTGCTGGCTAAGAATCACAGATTGGAATCCAATCTACTTGTAGAGTATCAAGCTAAGAAAGGTATTTTAAAGTATGTATGAATATATGGCAGGTTCATCTATTAAAAAACAGTTCTTCCAACATGCAGTAAGACAGGAATACTGTATACAGTAGAATAGCCATTGCCTTGATTTTTTAAAAATTGATGAATTGTTCCCTTCTGTTTAAAAAAATGAGTGCAACTGTACTGTACTGATTTAGGATATAAAATATGAATATTTACTAGTCATAATCCCTTGGGACTCATCTTCAAGAATCTATTAGTTAGGCATAATAGAGAAAAAAATGCTGTGTTTAGGTAAATATGTCATGGATGATGAAAATGCAACAAAAATTAAAAGCCAGCATTCCATAAAAATTTTAATGTAAAATCTATTTAGAATAGGATTATGATGATGCCCAATGAATAATTTTTATCCCTGAGAAAACAGTAGGGGTACATTTGGAAAGAGAACAAAGTGCTGTGTCAAAATTTGGTCCAAATGCTTATTGTTTCTGTAACAATGGGAATCATGCCTAATGAGAAATTTCAAAATAGCTATGTTAAGCAATACATTATCTCATCATTTTGTTGCTTTAGTCAATCTGTGTACTTGTTATGCTAATGCTTATTTGCATTTAACTTATTGCCATCTTCATCCTCATCTACAGCTCTGGTATGGGGAAAGAAAGAAAAAAGACTATAGAAAAGAAAGGTAACTTACCATTTTCTCTTAAAATACAACAAATGATCTCTTCTTCCCATCTCTCTTCCATAAACAAAACCATAAAACGTTGTCATTTGGTCCTACTCTGCATAAATCCACTAAAGATGACCAGAGACGACAATATATTTTAATCTTGATCAAATAAACCAACTTTATATTCTATCCCTTTTAATAATTTTGATTTTTATCCCTTCATATGCATCCCATAATCATGATAATAATGTCCTCAGAATTTTAATAAATCGCTTCTGTATATGTAATATAAGGAAGCTACCAATATCAATTGGATTACGAAAAGGAATAGTTTGCCTTCAGAAATCGTGAGTGCTTCATTACTGGAGGTTTTTAAGAAACTAGACAGCCACTTATCTGAAATAGTATAGGTACTCTTGCTTGAGCAGGGGGCTGGACTAGAGAACCTCCAAGGTCCCTTCCAGCTCTATTCTGCTCATCACTCTTTCATTAAGACTTCAGCCATTATACAAGTGAATCTAATGATATTGAGAGAAACACAATCAGGAAATATCTATTATGTTTACTGTAAGTTTCCAGAGGCAGATTAATTCTATTACATGATACTGAATGAATTTCCTGAAAGTTTAGCTGAATTTTTATATACAGGTAATCCTTGACTTAACCACAATTGAGCCTAACATTTCTGTTGCTAAGTGAGAAAGTTGTTAAGTGAATTTTGATCCATTTTACAAGCTTTCTTCCCACAGTTGTTAAGTGAGTCACTGCAGTTATTAAGTTAGTAACACAGTTGTTAAATGAATCTGGCTTTCCCGTTGACATAGGACCCTGCAACCATCATAAATATGAGTCAGTTGCCAAGGGTCTAAACATGTGACCATGAGGATGCTGCGATGGTCACAGGTAGGAAAAATGGTCATATGTCACTTTTGTCATGTAACTTTGAACAGTCACTAAATCAGGTGATTGAAGTCTACTTATACTATCCTTGAGTGTACACTCTATAGTCTTGGGAGTGAGTCAAAATGTCACATCACTAGAGAAGTCTATTATCTTCCAAAAAGAAATAAAGGAATCATAGAGCAGTCAGACATTGATTCTAGAACAGATCATAAAAAGCTTTATCTGCAAACATAGAAATTACTCTCTTTGGATTTACCAAAAGAAATCTTACCAGACTAACGTTAACTCTGAACAATTAACTCCTTTAATTTATCATGGAAATATTGTAGCCATAGTATTATTTCAGCAAGGCATTCAATAAAAGCACTGAACAGCATTCTAATTAGCAAGCTAGAGAAATGTGGAGTAATAGCATAACAAATAGATTCATAACTACCTGAAAATTGTAGTCATAAAGTATTTATCAAAGGTTCTTCATCAAACGAGGTGAGGTAGTGAGGGGGTAGGAATAAGGTGTGGCCCTGAGCCTTTCAGTATTTTTATTAACAACTTGCATTAATGAGACTTGCAAAATAAGCAATGTTTTATTGGTAACTTGCATACGTAGGCTGAATAAATGTTTATTAAATTAGCAGATGACACAGGACTGGAAGAAAAATTCCAAAGAAAATAAAATTCAGAACAAACTTGTCAGATTAGAGAAATGGGCTGAGAATGAATGAAATTTAACACAGACAAATGTCAAAATTCTTCACTTCAAAAACAAAATATGCAATTATAGAAGAGAAAATTATTGGCTTATTTATAGAATGTGCAGCAGTTTTTGGAACAGTAGTTGATTAGAAGCTGAACATGAATCAGCAGTTCATCTGGCTATAAAAAGGCAAATGCATAACCAAATTATTATAGGTTAATAGGAAGAAATAGTTTTCCTTGTCTGCTTTACCCCTGAAAGTTTCAGATAGACTGAAACGTTTTCAAAGAAAACCAGCAGAGGCTAGAAGGTTAGAAATGACATCTGAAGAATAGGAATTGAAAGAACAAAACTGCTTGGCCTTCAGAATAAAAGGTAAGAGGGGACATGACAGGATCTCCAATATGATATTGCTAGTTTGTATTCAGTTTGTAATCAAATAAAAGATGGTACATATATAAAAATTCAAGACCTGTTTTCTGTTGTTATTGAAAACGAATTTAAATTACAGTTTGACAACGCAGTTACTTTTTTTTGCTCAATGTATTCAGGAAGGGATTACACATCTTTTGGGAATACTTTAATTGGATTTCTCTGGAATCCCTATCTTCGTAGACTTTTATTTGTCTGCTGTGAAATCATTCTGAAATTGTGAAACATTTTGGTGCACACTTATATGAAGACAACATGCTGGGTTCTGGTGTCTGAGTGCATCTTAAAGCTCATTCTACATTCCCCTTAGGGAATTTTCAAAGACACAACAGGAAAACTAGTTCAACATTTTTTGTGGGAATTCTAGCAAGCTTCCAAGAGTTTCTAGGGTTCTCCAGAAGACTAAAAATTACCAATACAAAATTACTAATAAAATAGATTAATATATTTCTATCATAGGCTTGGAAGTCATTGAGTTTCTTCCATGTAGGAATCCAAGTTAAAGCATCTCATACAAATCATTGTCTTTGCTGCAGCACAACCAGTGAAAGGGACTCTACTCTTCTCTGGGTTATTGGTTCCACTACAGTACTAATCTGTTCATACAGTTAGCATAGTTTTTCTAACATTCAATCAGAATTGGGTCTTCCTGTAACTTACTGTTTTATGTCATGTACTCTGGCATGGTAGAGAGCAATCTACAAAGCCTGTGTTTTCATAGAGTGCATGTAAGAAGTATGTCCTAGAATTAGACAAAAGAAACAATACTGTAATTCTATCCTTTAGCATTCTAGCTCCATCGAAGTAGATACACCTTTGGATCATAGATGCTACTTCCTGTGGACTTAAATCAACATTTTTGTATCATCAGTTTTATTCAGACATTAAAACTAATTTAAGTGTAACCAGCTGCCTATCTAGATCCTAGTAGTTCTACAGTATTTGGGGCCATAAGTCAACCCCTTTGCATTTCTTTCCTGCTTAGAAAGAAGAGCTTATGATGTGAAATCAAATTAGGGTCGGTCAATGGGAACAGAGATTTATTCTTTACTACAGTAAATCTTCATTCTGGTGACTGATTCAAATTCAAATTTGTATTGTTATCCAGGGACACATATATTTGCCTTCATTTGTAAGAGTTTATGACTTTATATGGCATATCAGAAATGTTACTTATGCCACAGTAGAAAGCCAAATATATTTTGAAACAGAAAATGACTGTTACAGGAAGAACAAATAAAGCAAAACAGCCCTTCTTATAGTAGAACAGAGGTATTTGGAATATTTTCACATGGAACAATTAGGGATATTTGTTGGTTAAGAAGCCTTCTTGGAATGAACAAAGTAGGAGTTCAGTGTTACAACAGTTAACAAGATATAATGGCTTCTGAAATCTAAGGGAAGTTGGGGTTAATGGCCATGGTCATGTTTAATACAGAGATCTGGTATTCCTTCTGGTTAATGTCCACAACATATTTAAAGGTGCTGAAGCTGGCTGAACTCTCTAGATTTTAGGAATAGCTGCTTGGTTCCGGGCAGAAAGCATAGGATATGTGGGAAATTCTTTGCTGCCTTCTCCTAATGGCTGGATTGATTGAAGCTGGAATATATGGCAGTTGTCCTTCTCAAGGCACTTTATTCTTATATTGCTGCTTGTTTTTCTCAGCGAGACATCATCCGTACAAACTCTATATGGAAAAGAGCAAGGATGTCAGCACATTAGGAGAGAAGAAAGAGTGTATCATTTTTTAAACATTACTGAGAAGTAGGAGTGGGCTAGTTAGCTATAAATCCTAACATTGTAATATTTCACCTCATTTTTCCAATATTTCATCACACTCTAGTAGTTTGACCAAGAAACAGATGTATATTTATTAATACATACCCTCCCTTAAAAAGAAAGAATGAAAGAAAGATAAATACATTGCAACAGAGCTTTACAGGATCAAAATATGATTTTGCCATTTTTCACTGAGTAAAAATCTTCCCTGAGTACAGATTTAGAGCCAACTATTGAGTTGAAATGTTTATCTTCTCCAGTTAAAATATGCCTGCCAATAGGAAAAAATAAAATGCTGTACAGTAGTTGAGTTTTAAAAAATGACTTGCTTAGCTTATAATATATAGCCATTCTGGTTAGTGTTTGCTGCTTTTGTTTTGAAACAAAAATCTTAGCTTTCAAACTGTCCCTTTTTGACTGTATTCTCTATTAAACAGAAATTGGTAGAGGTAAATGCAGTACCTCAAACCCTAATATATATTTTTCCTGCCAGCTTGTCCAATATATTCCTTCCCAAAATCAAAACCAAAGTCCAAATAGTCTCTTGGCTCAGATATCATTTTCCATTTGTAAAATACAAATTTTCATCCAAAAAGACTTTCCTGTCATACCTTCGAAGTCCACAAGACCATCCCCATTCAAATCAACATCCCGGAGAATCTCATCCATCTCTTGGTAGTTCAACTGTTGCCCTAGGAGCTTATGCATTGCTTCCCGTAGTTCAGCTATGCTGATCTGCCCATCACCATTTGTATCAAACTGAAAGGAGGAAATACACAAACAACTTATTTCACCAGTCATTTAACTACAGTATCTTTCATACTTATCCAGTCTCATTTGAACCCAGTATTGTTTCCTGTTCTTAGTTGACTAACGAACAATGGCAATTGATCTAAGGTACCAAACCAGAAAGTGGGAAATCATGAGTTCAAGTCCTGCCTTAGTCATCAAAGCCAGCTGGGTGACTTTGGACCAGTCATTCTCTCTCAGCCCAATCCACTTCACAGGGTGGTTGTTGTAGGGAAAATGGGAGGAGAAAGATGTGTTGGATATCTCAGCCACCTTGAGTTATTTGTAAAAATAAAGGTAAGTTAGTAAGTCAGTAAATAGTAGATACAGCACAATGCTATGCCATGCCATGCCATGCAATACATCATTATGTACAGATTCTGCCCATCCAAATGGGCTTGCATACAGCAGACATTTCAAGGAGCTGCACATAATTACATTACAAAGTTTACTCATGTGAACTTTGCAAATTCAAAACCAAAATCATGCCTGAAAAAACATTCATTACATCTATGGTAGCTGCTGCAGTTAAGAAGTATTACTTAAGAAGGATCCAGAGAATGTGGAATAAGCTCAGAACAGGGCCAGGAGGATAATTAGGGATTAGAAACTAAATCTATAAAAAGAGATTGAAAGAACTGAATGTTACTCTTGAGAACAAACGATAACATAATTTAAATTCTTAAAATATGTTACTGTGCACAAAAATTGTTTTTCTCTCATCCCAGAGTCATAGACATGTAAGAATGCATTTAAATTACAGGAAGGAAACCCTGCCGAATTTGTTAACAAAAAGAGCATGTTGGACACTCCATTCAGTGAGATGATGAATTTCTGTTTGCTAGATGTATTCAGGCAAAAGCTTGACAGCAACAGTATACATGAGATAAACATTTTTGGGTTTCTGCATGTTGCAAGAGGACGTTTCCTAATGGCCTGAAAATAACTACTTTGTAATTTTGCTTTCCCAGTTCAAAATGGTACCATTGTCTCAAATTATTATACTAAATAATTTTCTCTGCCTGCAGACTTGTGACTTGTTTTCAATGAAACCCCAAATGTACAACATCCATGGAGTCCAGCATTTCATTATTTCCCATACCTAGATGATTCCAGTAAAATAGACAATACTAAGGAGGATTCTTTTTAATTTCACAAGTACGTGATTAGTTTCTCTATTGGTTTTCTCCAATGCCTTATTGGTCTTACTAAGAATTCTTTTGATACATAAGAATATGCCCTCGTCAATTTTACGTAAGAAATGGGGAAAAGTCTGAAGGTGGGGCCTTAGTATGACCCAGAAGAATGTCAAAAACAAACAGCAGTTAAAGTATAGAGGATATACTTCTTAGTCAAGGATGAAAAATTGAAGAAAAACAATACCCCTGAATTTTCCTCAGAATTCTGCAGAGGAAAACCTGGTAGATTGAAGGTTTCTTATGCAACAACAATACTAAAGCTAAAATATAATGATAAAGCTGTTTATTGCCTAAATATCACATTAGAATCTACGCATATCAAGAATATGAGAGTTACTCAAAGGTACTTTAAATAGTAAGAGATAACTTAATGAAAACAGTGAAGATTTGTTTCCTTTACAAGTTAGCCCTAGAGTTATTTTTTAATAGAGTACAGCCTAAAAATAATCTCATGTATCCTTAAAGCATAACAGGTATTTATTTTTACTTCTGCTTGTGGAACCTCTGTATTTATGTAAAGCTGGGGGGAAATTTGAGTAACGGGGCTCTGTTTTTAGGAATGAAAATAATCCTCAGAGTCCTTGGTGTCATTTGGCACATCTAGCAATGACTAAATCATTCACTGTTCACTTTAACACTGAACCTAAAATGAAAAATTCAGGATATAATTTCTGGTGTAAGTTTCTCACTTTGTGACTTGCTTCTTATTTATTATTTTAGGCTGATGAAATCTTGAAGGTATACATACCAACTGTTTAAATCATTTGATTGTTGTTGATACTGCCTAACTTAAAATTGTGAATATCCATTATAGTGGGGGGGGGGGGGGTCGAGCAGCAGACAATTTAGTCAAAATTAAACATCCACAATATATAGTTATCCAGCCACTGCTTGCTCACCGTATGTAATCATGTGATTTGTCACATATGATTTAATTTGAATTCCTGGCTTTTCCCACTCTATGATTCAGTGTGATTTGCTTATTTATGGCTTCGTGTGTTGACTCAACTCATCCAGAACTGTTTTGTAAGCAACAATCTATGACTGAAACTAGCCAAATGTGGTTTATTCAGGAAATCATTTTTAGCATATTCAGCCATAATGTATTATGGGAAGATAGCAGGTGTGCATATAATACTACTACCTCTGATCCTTATAACTGTAACTGTATAACTGTAGCTCACCTCTCTGAAAGCATCCCGCAGCTCTTTAACCCCAATCATGTCTGCTGTCTCCGCCAGCAGCTTAGGGCCCATCAGTTCCACAAAGTCATCAAAATCCACTTTTCCTCCAGCTGTAGACATATAAAGGCATTTTCAGAAGAAGCAGGGCAACACAAAGTTAAATATTTTATATTGTGAGCCAAGGCCATCTCACACTGGGAGAAACTAAATTTGATCTTTCTATCCATCATGTCCCCAACAGAATTTATATGGATTCAGTATATTTATTTAAAATACACAGGAGTAAAATGACTGTTATCAATCTAGAGTAGAGTAGAGTAGAGTAGAGTAGAGTAGAGTAGAGTAGAGTA